AAAAGGCTCACACCAAAATGGTATTGAGGTAACATGATCCTGTTGCTTGATCTGTGTTTATCTTTCCACAACTAGAGCTCAGTTATGCACAGAGGATACCACGGATACACTGTGGAAAAAATATGCATGCCTCTTTCTGTGTGAATTGGGCTGCTGTCAGACCTGAAGTTCAGCCTCAGTGTCATAATACTAGTTTGCAGATGCAGCCTTTTGAGTGGCCTTTCACAACATTACATGGGAAATGCTTAACAATAAAACTCTTAAAAATAAATCAACCAGAAACAATACAACCAATTTTTGAGATTTGCTGACAAACTCATTTTCTTCATCACTTGAGTATAATTTGATGAATAACTTAGGGGACTTTTTAAAAAATGTATGTTTTAATAAGTTGAGCATGAGCTTTTTAATTAAAGAAATACTCCTGTAAACGTGTTTTCTCAGCATTCCCTGCTGTACAATACAGGAATGTGCTAGCAAAGGCAGTAAATTATAAGTGAATAGGTAAAGGTAACGGATAGGTTTGTAGAGAGAAAATTGGGGGCTTCCTTTGTGATCTCCCCAAAGAATTGGATTTACCTTCTGGACTACCTTGTAATGTTTAGTCTACAGAGTTTGTGGACCACCAGGGAACTTTGGGTGCAGAGGCTCTGTATTTCCCAATAGGTATCTTATCTTTCTGGATACTGTTTTAGAAATCTCCCTTTGGGAACTTTTATCTTCTTCCCCACCACTTCCCAATTTTAAAGGAGAATTTCCAGAGTGAAAAATGCCCCCCTCCCCATCTGTTTTCTTTAAGTGACAACCTCTGATTTTAAAGGTGTCTCCATAGCAACAAACAGTTTTTTCTCCCCACCCTTCCCGTCTTTCTCCAGGAAGTGGTTCTGTATTGTTTGGAAGACAAGGTCTGTGATGTAAATCACTGTGACAGGTCTGGCTGTTGCATTGTAAAGAGACTTTAGTCACGTTTATTCTTTTAGTGATTTTCTTTGCTGGCTTGAACTGAGGATGCTACACAGAACGCTCTGTAGAGCCATATTTAGGAATATGGATCTGTGGAAGCGATCTACTAAAACATCAGCGGAGACTAGCAAGTGGAACTGCTTCTCAGCTTGTGTGCCTGTTGGTTTTTCTCTTATTTCACTTCCTCACTTTTAAATCACTACTTTAAATACATTTTTGTTCATATTAGATATGTTTTGGCAATGAAGAAGGAATATATCTTTTTAAAAACAAATAAACCTGACTTATTAAATGCTAAATATTACATTTATTGTGCTCCATTAAGTTCATTCTAGAATGACCTACCTAGGGCTGTAATCAGTCTGAATAAATTTTTATTAACAAGTATAGTATTCCAGTATTAGGAAATAATTATTTACGTTTCTTACTGATTCTGACTCAGGCATGTACTCTGATAAGGAAATAACTTCTTTATAGCTTTTGGTTCATGAAAATTCTGATGAAAATATTATAAATTGGTCAGAAAGGTGTAAAAATTGCTTATGAGTTAAATCTGACCAATAGGCTTCCTAGCAGATGCAAATTTTAGATTAATGAGAAACACACACACAAACAATAGTTTTGGTGATTACACAAGTAAAGATCTAAATATTTATGTGCAAGGTTTTGACATTTTTTCCCAGGGCCCGTACTTTCATATTCAAACTAGTCATGTGCTATCAACCACGTTTCTGAAATTCAGCAGAGAAGGCTGAAATCTCAGTGAATTGAATCATAATTAAATAGTTAACGAGGCATTTAATTAATTAACCATAAAACTCTACATTGCTATGTTTCATGGTGAATGACATTGGATAAAATCCACTGGGAACTTCTCCAGTTCTATGGTGAGAAGCTGTATATGGAATGGGTGCAGTCTTTCAGGAACTATTGTGCAGATTAAATGAATGGGTTTAAACAAGAGAATATGTTCAAGAGGGAAAATCCTGACAATTTCTCTTTTATATATATTTATTTATTAATATAGGCAAATGTCACATTGTTCATTGATTAATGCTAATTAGTTCTAACTCTACCACAATAGAAGCTTTACGCACAGAGGATACTCAATTTTGGGGCCATCATCTAAATTACCTCACGTAGAAAAGTTGCAGAGACTTTCCTGAAACCTTGAAAAATGTGTGGCAGCCTTCATCACCTAAGTTCTATCATTTGTTTTGTCCTGTATGCCTTCCTAGTGTGATCAGTTATTGGGAATGATGAAGATTGTAAGCAAAACGATAGGAGTGAGCAAGTTTGTGGAAGGCTGCAGGAGCAGATGTAGGTAGAGACGTTCCAATCCTGTTTTAGGTCAGTTTACAATTAGCTGTAGCAATGGTTTTAATTAACTAATTGCCCTTACAACATTTAATATAGAAATAGGGGATGCATAACTTTTTTTCCCAAAGGTGTCTCTTTGTGATTGTATTACTTTAATTGAATATGCAGTTGGATTGTGCAAAAATTGCATGGATGTCTACCACTGATTTCAGCAGGCTTGCCACTTCAAAAGCTTACCCTCGTTCACCAAGTGGCTGATATACTCAGTGACAAAGTTATGCATCTGTTGTCTTCTTCCTTTGGTTTGGACAACCTTTTTGTTAGTTTGCTAGCAATTATATAAAGTTGGTTAGTAAATGGCATGTTAAATGAACAGTTTCATGCGGAATCTCAGCTACTATTTAGGTTAGATTTGTGAAGATGGCAGATTATGGTGAGCTTTCCAGCAGGCATAGAACATCAAAGAAAAGTCTGCTGTGTCGGTAGAAAGTACTTCACACACTTAAAGGAATGGTTCTCATACATGAAAGGTTATGCCACGATAAATTTTTCAGAAATTAAAGGAAATGTTAAAAGTTAGCAATGATCTTAACAAACTTGATGGCATTGTACTGCAGTCTTCACTACAGATTTTTTAAAAACCATTATAGCCAAATTGAGGATGTAATACAGGTATTCTGATCTTTAAGCTAGGTCATGGAATGCTCATAGGCTGAAATTTCCATACTTGCCAAGAAATGTAACAAAATGAAATCTTGCATCCAATTGATTGTTGTGAAAATTCTCCTTTCTTTCAAACTAGTATAAACAATTTCTGTTCATTGACCTTAATTGACAAGTGATTCTTACATCCATGAAGTATCTCAAGTCAATAATAAAATATTAAGGGAAGTCCCAGTGGGAAGACTAATCTACATGTTATTTCACAGTGAATTTCCACTTGTTTCTAGCAGGCACATAGAAACTTCAGTTGGTGATGCATTTTGGTGTATCTTTGGTCCTGGAATGGAGTAGAGGCAAGAACACCCCCCCTAAACATGATGATTCCATGACTTATGATGACTTTTGATATGTGGCACAATTGAAATACAGAAAATTTTGCATGTCATTAATTAATATATAAGGCAATGGAAAGAGGCTTACATAAAGAGAAGTGAAACTAAAGTATTCTCTTAAAAGTCTGAAGAGATTTTTGCCACAGGGAAAATCCAGTATATTAAAAGAACTGTGGGTATGCATCCACATTGTTTCTTCTGTTAATGTGGAAAACAATTGTTCCTTGTAAATTAGTTTACTCCATTATCCTTGTACATTTATTTGTATGGTAACTCTTTTGAAATTGTTAAAACAAATGTGTTGAGAGCCAGTCTGGCTTGAGATATCTCAATCTTCCTTCTGGGCTAATTGCTGGCTTTGTTTTTCAACCATTTGACTTCTTCACCTGAGATGAGAGCTGTATGGTAGCTTCCTTCTTTCCTTTGTAACTTGCTAATAGCCCAATCAGAGGGGTATTCCCAGCATGTTAAAAGTAATGGTATGTATATTTCCGCAGCAACAAACAATTTGGTCTGTTTTCTCCTTCTTTTTCAGGAAGTGGTTCTGTATTGTTTGGAAAACAAAGTCTGTGATGTAAATCATCGTGACAATGCTGGTTATTGTGCCCTACATGAGGCCTGTGCCAGAGGTTGGCTGAGCATTGTGCGACATCTCCTAGAATATGGAGCGGACGTTAACTGCAGCGCTCAGGATGGAACTAGGTTAGCCATTTTAGTTAAACCACATCTAAATCTCCTATGCTTCAGTATTGCATTAATATATAGTTGGATTACTGTTGTCCCAAGTTTATAATCTCCTTTAAAGAAATGGCATATTTCTCCCAAAATGAGGTCTATATACAGTAGTTGCTTTTGGCCTTGTATCCTGTACAGAAGTCAATATAGCAAACAATACAGTGTCACACTTTGGTACATTTAGGCTGCAAGTCTGTATCAACAAATTTTAATTTTGTTATTAGGAAAGAATCAGTGATTTTGTGTGCCTTCGAGTCAGTGTTGACTCCTGTTGATTGTCTGGTCAAGTCCCTGCAGCATTCTTGGCAAAATTTTGAAAGTGGTTTGCCATTGCCTGCTTCTTAGGGCTGAGAGAGAGTCATCCAACCGGCTTCATGCCTAAAGCAGGATTGGAACTCACAGTCTCCCAGTTTCTAGTCTGATGCCTTAATCGCTACACCAGGCTGGCTCTTGTGACCCCCTTAAATACTAATAAATATTAATACAAAGTTTAGGTAAAAATACAATTTAAGTTTTTACTAGTCATAAGGAAACAGGCAGTAGACATGCTTTCCCCCTAGAAGGTTTTTTAATTGTTAGATCATTCCTCTTCCATTACTATTCACTAAACTTTTCTTACTGTGATTGTTATGTAAAGTTTATCTTTTCTAAAGCAGTTTAGTTGTATTTATTTTTTTAAAAGATCTATAATAATGTTGGAGCATATTCTTGGAGTTCTTCTGTTGAATGTTTTATCACTTACCACCATATCTGGTAACTCGGCTCTAAATTAGCATGTCTGTAAGCCAATAGCCTTGTAATTATTGGCATTTGAATAGAAACTTGCAAAGATTTCAGGAAAAAAACAAAGCTTGTTAAAAACTTCTGAGCAGAGGTTGTCACCTCATTGATTCTGTAGAGACATTTTGAATGTTTGTTCCTTCCACTAGCTAACTAAATAAAAAGTATGAGAAGAGGTACACACCCCCACGGTGTGGGATTTTTTAACGAAGCAGTCAGGCCTTTGTTTTAATAAGATTACTTTACACAATAAGCCATAGAAATGTTTGCAGCATGTGGTATAAACACAAAATTATGGCTTAAAAGGTAACTTTTTTCCATTCCTTGAACCTTTTCCCCATAATGTGCAAAATTGCTATCATGAATTGCTTTTACTGTTACTGTCAAATCTGTGGGGATTACTTGTATGGTCAGAGACTAATGTTCACCATGTAATAAGTGGCAGATTCTGCTGTAATTTACCTTCATCTGCCCTTTGTAATGTACAGGGAGTAACCACTGGATTAAACACAGATTGTACCATCTCTTTTTCCCCATCTATACTGGAGAGTGATGGAAACTGTGGTCAAATCAATCTCTCTCTCTTACTCACTCACTCACTCACTCGCTCATACACACACACACACACACACACACACACACTTTCCATATTCATTAATAAAAGGAAGTGAGGCAACAGCTTGGACAAAGTATAGATCCATACACAGACTCCCCAACTGCTGCCACAGTAGAAGATACACAGATTAAGAACCTGGAAACAGGCTCCAGTAGCAAATTAGCTGAAATAGATTTATCATGATTGATGGAAGACAGTATGCTTGAATTCTATTATGGCAAAGTTAATATTAAATGTACAGTGGAACCTCGGGTTATGAACGCTTCTGTTAACTAACTTTTCGGGTTACGACCAGCTCTGGCCGCAAAATTTTACTTTGGTTTGCGAACTCCGCCTTGGGGTACAAACAGGATACGCGGCCATTTTCTCTCCCGTGACACGGTCCGCGGCCATTTTTCCGCCCCTGACACGTGGCCGGTGGCCACTTTCCGCCCCTGACACGTGGTCCGTGGCCATTTTTCCGCCCCTGACGCGTGGTCCGCGGCCATCTTTCCGCCCCTGACGCGTGGTCTGCGGCCATTTTTCCGCCCCTGAGACATGGTCCATGGCAATTTTCCACCCCTGACACGTGGTCTGCGGCCATTTTTCCGCCCCTGACACGTGGTTTTAGGGAGGGGGACTCTCCCTCCAAGCAGTAGCCGCCTCCCTGTCCTCCACGCCAGAACGGATTATTGTTAATTACATTGAACCTTATGGGAAAATTTGCTTCGGGCCGCGACCAATTCGGGTCGCGACCAGAGTCACGGAACGAATTAAGTTCGTAAACCGAGGTTCCACTGTACTTAATAGAACAAAAAGAATTTTGGCAATAACTTTAAGAAAACCAGATTAGCTACTGTTTCTAAGAGTTTTTAGCATTCTCACCTTATCTCTCACTGTCTTCCTCTCTCCTTTTTTGTAATCTTAAGTACAGTGGTACCTCTACTTACGAACTTAATCCGTTCCGTGACTCTGATCGCAAGTCGAGTTGGTTGCAAGTCGAAGTAAATT